TCCCCTTTTTGGAAGAGGAGATTGTGTTACAGGTGTAGATTTTTTTTTTTTTTTTTAAAAAACCTGCAGAATGTTCTCAGTTTTGTCATTGAATAAACCGTATCAAATTTTAGGATCTGTTTCTATGAAGTGGTAATTATTATCTGCAGCAGAGAGTTTCATAAATCTCTTGTATCCCCTGAATTGCTGGCACAGAGTCATGCTAGTGTATGGTATGGTATATAAACTGTGGGAGAGCAGCAAGGCCATTGATTTCTTGGGTTGGTTTAGCTGATTAATTGTTAGAAATAATTAAGAGCTCTGGAGAAGAATGTCAGTATTCATGGTGATATAAAAGGGCGATAGATGGATTTTAGGGTCGAAAATAGTTGTAATCTTCCGCGTGTTTGTCTGGGAGAAGTTAATGAGTTAGCCTGAAGTTGTGGTTTCTAAGAAGATAATACAAATCATGTTACTGAGTCTCGTCTTTTAGCTGGAAATTCCTAGTCTGACTTCAACAGATTTACCCAGGGCTGTGGTAATGTCTAGTGACCAGAATCAAGTTCACTGTCTTTTTGTTTTAAAGTATGTTTTTAACTAACTGTGAAAAAAGAAGTCATGTGGGAATGGTGGTGATTTTAGCCACCCTGTCAGTTTCAAAGCAGCATCATTTTTCTAGCATGCTGAGGTGGAACTGGGTTCTGACCAGTGAACACTTCATACCATGGAAGCACTGGGTGCACAAGAACTGGGATAGCTTTTTCCTTTAATGCTGGGTGCAGCTGCTCTCATGTACCTACCCATCAGCTAGCTTACCGTCCTTTTACATGCTCAGCATTTGTTCAGCTGTAAAAAATAGTTTGTTCATCTAGTCGTTAAGCTGCTAAATCTGGAAAACACAGAGAAGTGTCTCTCATGGTGTGAACAACAGAAGTGAAAGTACTTGCCTAACTTTTCATGTCAGTATATCTTCAATGGTTTAGCAGAGAACAGCTTCATTGCATAGCTGCAGCCAGAGCTTCCAGCTGCTCTAGAAATCTTTTTGGAGAAGTTGGTTTTTTTTTTTTTTTATATATAAGTATGCCACATAAATGGGCATTTTTAAAAAAAATTCAAAACCTTTTATTACCCTCTTGACAACAGTTCAGGCTTTGTGTCGGAGGAACTCCTCATGGATACTAGTCACAGGCATCAGAAAACCAATTTTTTTTGGTGCTAAGATGCACAGACTTTGCATTTTTTTTTGTGTGGCCCATAATGTGATAGTGGCACACGGCCTAGGTAAGGGCATGTTCCTCCTCAGCTCCTCTCAGTCTTGTCTGTCTCCAGAATGTCAGATGTCTCAGTAAATGTCTAAGCCCTGGAGCTTCTCTAAAAGTGAGCAAATATATTATTTCATGCTGTTAGACTAACAGTCTAGCTCCATACGTGTGCTTAATACACGCTCATGTAGTAATGCTGTCTTTGGTTTTTGGTCTTAAAATACAGTACTGAGTGTTTTCCAGAGAGGAGTTGTCCATTCTGCTGTTTGTTGGCAGTTGTTCTAATAGAGCATCCCATGTCCATCATGGGCTTGCCTTGTGTACCCCTCTAATGTAAAGCTGACTTACAGCTAATAAATAACCCAGCTGCATAACGGTTGTTGGGCTAATTTGGAACAGAATGGAAAAATTAATTTATTTTTGCTTCCTGGCTTTATTGAAAATAGTCTTTCAGATTTCGGATGAGTTTGTAAAATGCAGAGGTAGTTCTTGGAAGAATGGACACTTAAAGGTGGAGTGCCACTTGTGGGGTCCGTCCAGAGCGTGGCCAGCGTGAGCTCTGTGTTCACCTCGGCTCGACCCAGTGATGATTTTCTGGGCGCGCCTGAGCATCACTTGACACGCCACGAGTCAGGAGTGAGCTGGAGCTGCAGATTCACCTCTCCCGCAGGTCTCACTGAAAGTGAAAGCAGCTCCTGTTGTTGCTGTCACTGTCGGGTAAGAGCAGCCCGGGAGGGTTTGTTGTCTCTGAAACACCCGGGTGCGAGCGAGGATGGGCACGGCCGTCCCGACCCCTGCCCTGACCTCAGCACGTGGCCTGCTTCCAAGACCATCACTATTCTTTACCCTCTGCATTGAATTCACTGCATTCAAGGCTTCAGTGTTCGTGCCAAATAATAAATTTCCCTTAAACCAGAATAATTTGGATTTTACGGGAAATTCCAGAGTCCAAGAATTTAGATTTAGTTTAGCTGAAAAGAATATTCTAAAGTAAAATAATGACAGACCACTACTAAAAATTAATTCAAAGGAATTAATTCAGGCATTGCCTTCCCACAGGCAATTTTGCAAATGTGAAAATATGGTTAACTACCTTTATGGTCTTTGTCCAGCATCTCAACATGTCTGTTACAAATTTAATAAAAGTAATTCCTAGACCTTCTATACATTCTACACACTTAAAGTGAAGGCATGCCCTTGCTTTGTCAGGCTTGGCGTCATCATCCTGCAGCAATCAGCCCTGTACTTCTAGTTGTGATTATTTTTCTTTTTTTTTTCTAGCTATGGAGAACTTGTTTTCTTGACATTGTTAGATGCAATCTAGAAATTTGGAAAATTTCTATTTGAAACTGTTCTAAGGTTAGGGCACTTGTAGGCTTTCGTAAATGCTCTCACATTTCTCGTCTAAACATTTCTAACTTTAGTTTATTACTACAGACCACACAGAAGTGGTTCTTTGTTATTTACCAGTTGCCATTTTAGCTTTTGAACTCCTTAATTAAAAAAGGTGATTGAAAAATGACTTACTGATAGTTGCATTTATGATGGCAATCTCCAGTTTTAATTGCATACTTCAAATGCTGCTGTTCTGATGGAGAAATACTGGTTTGACTTTCTAATACCTAGGGATGATTAGTATCTATTTGCTTTTTATTTCATTTGTGTAACTGTTTATGGCCTGTAGGCGTGTTACATTGCTCACCTAAGTGTGCCTAGCCTCCTTGATCAGGTCGGAAAGGTTAAAAAGAAAGTGAAGTATCATTGCAAGAAAACAGGAAGGAAAAGCTTTGAAAATGAGGTGAAAGGGAAAAGAGTGGAGCAGCATGGCACTGTTTAAAGCAAGGAGCTTTGATGTAGAGCTTGTGCTGTACCTCGGGGGGGAAGGGAGAGGGGACACCATAAGGAAAAAAGGGAGATGGAGTTTATAAATGTTGGAAGACTTCATGTTTCTTTTGTGCCTGCAAGTTCTTGTAGAAGGGCAAGAAAGGGGAAGGAAAGTTTTGGTGTTTATTATTTACTTCAGAACACAAGATGATTCTTTTGCAATACCCTGATGAACAACAGGGCCTAGGGTGAGCCTGAGGGTCAGGCAGGCATGTAATTTTCTCCTTATGTCTGGCCGGACTAGGTACTAAGCACTGCAGGGGTGGAGTGGAAATTCACTATTGCCAATCCTGTATCTGTCTGCAGTCAGTGCATTAAAATCTTAAGGAAAAAAAAAATAGATGGTGAGTGAGGCATCAGTTAGAAGAAGGTGGTAGGTGCCTTCTGAAAGAGTTGTGCAAGGTCTTTTGATTGTTTCAGGCGTGCCTCAGCAAGTTAATTTACATGAACAAAATCAGAAGATAAATGTTGAGAGATTTCAAGAATGACATCCCCTGCCAAATCAAAGCTGATGGAACCATTTTCTCTAAACTGCACTAGTTTCGCACAGTTTCGTTGCTGCGAAAGTCATGAGCATGTCTGTATGAGGTTTGGCCAGCATCCTGCATGTTGCAGCAAAGGTTAATATGCTGAGGCTCAGGGTTCTGTCTCTGGAATAACAAGAATAACCCATACGTTAAAATGCCTTAATTTTGTGGCTTCCTTTGTGCTTTAGATTTATTACTACCTTAAAAAGAAAAGGGGATTAGTAGGAGGACAAACAGCGAAAGTTGCTTGTTGAAGTGGTGTAGCACTTAGTACAGAAGTGACCTCTCAGGTGTTTCCACCGTGCTCATTTTTTTTTTTTCCTTGCAGAGGACCCCTAATCGCATAGTAAAATATTAGTAACACTGGTCTTAAAAGATTTAGCTCCTAGCATGAGGCTATGTAACCATGGTGCTCAGTGTATATAATATATGAAGCTCCTGCATGTACTGTGAAGGTATAATCGATGCAATTGTTCTAGTCTTAGAATTAAATGTGGTGTTCCAAGCATGCACTGTAATTAGACACTATTTGCAGGGAGATGTGTTAAAAGCAACTGATAAATATATTTTCTCTCCTTTGTCATTTGGGACAGAAATGTGCTTACTATTCATGCAGTCCAGAGAGTTTCTTGCTTTCTGACTTACTTCATTATTATTATTTACATTTTTATATGATACTGTTTATACAAATATCTACGCTATGAGTCTTTGCCCTAGCATACCAGCAAACTAAGAAGGCATATATTAGAAATGAAGAGCTACAGCTGCATTTAATGTCTTTATGATTCCACTGCCCCTTCCCCCCTTCCTCAGTCTCCCCCATAACTCTGTGGAAAAAAACACCTATCTTGCAAAGTACTGCAGTGGCTGACAAAATTGTAACTCCTATATGTTCATTCAATGCCTAGATTATCACTGTTGAATAGATGCACAGTTTGAGAGCACTAAAAATGACTAGTCCGAATGGTACTGTAAGGTCCAGCTCTATTTTTCCTTACTTATTCTGCTCTAGTGGGCCAGGATTGTATGTGAATGTAATTAAAAATGGAAGTTGCCATAATAAATACATGTATCAAAGAATCATTGTTCAGCCACCTTTTTAAAATAAAAAAATTAATCATTGAGATGTCAACCAGGTTTTTTTGGTTTTTTTTTAAAAAAAAAGGATGCTCAGGAGTTGTCATAACAGGAGTAGGTTCCTTGGTGTTGGGGTATTAGCTCTGAGGTGAGGGAATGGGATACAGCCTTGTCTTAGCTCAGCAGAATGGGGATACAAAAGAAAAATACACCTTACATGAAGCTTTTACTAACATTGGCTATCGCATTATTTTTTTTTTTCCCACTCCAGAGGACAAACTTGGTCGGAACGAGTAATGCGGATTTTCCCTCTGGGGATCCCGGAATGTACCAGTTGGACGTTACTCTAAGAAGAGGACACAATTTAGCGGCACGGGACCGTGGAGGTAAGCGTGCTGGTAAACACTGCCCTAAGGTTTGGGAAGTTACATGTCCATTGGGTAAATTTATATGAGGGTATTAAAGTTATAGTTCAGGTTTGAATTGTAAGTGAGTTAGTTAAACTGTGCTTAAAACTGTGTAGACATTCTTTGACTGCAAAGCATGAAGTAAAAGGAGCTAGGGTCAGCTAAACCCACACAGGAAGAGAAATAAGATCTATTAACACTGGTTTAATTCTTCTGCTGGCTAGTTTCCTCCCATTTTTGAATATTTCAAACTAAGAAAAGCATGATAGATGTACTTTAACCGTGCATTTGTGCTGTCTTGCTCACACAAGTGCTGTCTTTCTACTTGTTTTTTTTTTTTTTGTTGACTGCTTAACTGATAAATACTGATGCTGTGTTTAAAGACAGAAGTGGTAAACTCCTGCTATTAGATGTGTCCAGGCTTTACCTGTTGTCCAGTCTGCTGATCACATACTGGCATTTTACTGTCTGCTCTGAGACATGCACTGAACACGCAGTTCAGGTGTAGAAAGGATTCCTGAAAGGTATTGTGACCCATGGGAATGCAGCAGTCTGACTCAGTGACTCTGTACATGCAACTGCAGCTCATATTTAAAATTAGATAAATCAGTAATTCATTTCCTGAACAGCAATGTGAGCGTGATAAATCTAACAGCCTATTTTGGATTTGCTGTAATATATTCTTTGTGAGAGAGAAAAAGCCATAGTAAAAATTTAACTGCAAAAATAGTATTGCACAGGACATTTCCATGCTTACCTGATGAAGTTACCTGACCTATTTCAGATCTCAGATATGGTAGCATAAACCTGGAAGGTTGTTTACGCTGGTAGGAAATTACTCCCTTGATATTTATATCACTGAAACTGAAATTTTAATATACTCACTGTTGCAAGAATGAGCTTTTATGTATATTCTTCCTCTAGATATATTGATATTCTACCAAGCTTTGCCTGTCATTCATTAAAATAGATAGTCAAATGTTTTTGCTCCATGAGCTAGGGAGACTTGCCCGGTTTCTGAATGACATGCTGTAATTCAGTCATATCTGCCATTCATACTATTTATAAATGAACAAAAATGTGAATGTAAATGTGATTATTTGTATGCAAGGAAAAAAATCTGTGATTTTTTTTTTCCCACATAATACAAGAGCCTAGGCCTAGAGTAAACACAGGGTAGGAGATCTGTCTCCTGAGGTGGAATCCCAGGGTGTGAAATGAATATTAGGTGCTGTATAAAAGGCCAGGTGCTTTAAAGGGTCTGTTCAGATTGCTGCTGCTTGAGCAGCGAGGGAACCTCCTCAAGCTACCCGGGAGACAACAGGGCAAGAGTGGTGCTTCCTCAGTATTTACTGGTCCTGGAGCCCAGACGTGAGGGTTGTGGTGCAAGGTTGTGGCCCACCCTGTTTCGTGGCCTGTAGCTCACTTTGGATGGTCTATACCTGTCGCCTTTCAAAAGGCTGAGCAGGTACTGGTTTTTCTTTTGAAAAGATACTGGGGAAGAAGGTAGTTGTTGGGCTCTGGTTTCGCAGGCTAGTCTTGTAGATTGAACTCTTGCCAAAAAAAGCGAGATGCCTGGGTTACTTTCTGCTCCCTTTCTGAATTTTTTTTCCTGCCCCTGAAAAAGCTCAGCCTTCCCATCTTGACCAACCAAGGGAATGTTTTACTAAGCCGCTGCAAGGTTGTCAGGAAGGAGAATGTGCATTACGTCCTAGTGAAGTGTAGAATATCCTTCAGACCAGGTGGGGAGCTACAGGTGTGCTCCCTCCCGCACTGACCAGGTTTCAGATCTCATTTGAGTTTGGGCTTCCAGGACTGAGCCTTTGTTTCCTAAGGGGGAAAATACAGAACCAGCACCTTGTACTGGGACTCCAAGCTAGGATCCATCCACTCATGACTGAATGTCCTGGCTGCCACCCACTGTGTTTCTGCTTGTTTTCCTCTTCTCTTGGAGCTACTCGGAGTGAGATTTTAGGAGCACCTGCAGTGTTTTAATTGATTCAATTAATTACAGGCATTAGGCTGGCACTTAATGTATTTAGATGGCTGCTGAATGGGAAGTGCACAGAACGAGGCTTGATTGGGTTAAGTCAGTTTTGTTGTAAATCCTGTCTTGAGTGTAACAGTTCTTTTCTATTCATTGTTTAAAGTATGCTTGTGGTAGTCCCAGTGATGTTTCACTATGAAACTGGGTGTGCAAAACTGAATTGTTGCTGGAGGTTGGTGTGGATGCCTGAGGAGATTCAGTGAGTCCATGGAAGAAAAATCCACGAAGGGCTTTGGAATGCGCAGAGAACACGTCTAACTCAGAGGATCTTTGCTCCAAATTCTTGATGCCTAGGAGGACGTTGGAGGGAAATAATGTATGTGCGTGTCCTCTCGTTTCTCTGTTAGCATCTGTTTATAGCCCAGGTGGAGCCAGAGCTCTGATCCATCACCAGTGCTCCTGTTGCACTGCCTGCATGCTGCAGCAGTGCTTGTGTCAGGGGTTGTGAGCCAGAAAGCGATTACAGGACAGTCCGTGGGAAACACTGTGTAGGAACATATATCCAAATGCTAAATGGAGCTGCTAAGACAGATATAGATATTAAAACCAGAGCTTGGAAGATTTATCCCAGAACTATCTCTGGGGAGTCTTACACTGCAGGTCTGTATCAGTGCATAACAACCCATTCCTCCAAAACTTTTTCCAGGTCTTCTGCTTAAAGCCTGAGAATTGAATTTTCTTTAAGAGCTGTGAATTTCACACTAAAAGAATACTTAAACTACATGGTAGAAAATAATTTTGTTTTAATTTTAGCTTTTTTGTTCTTTAATTTTTGAACTGCAGTTTCACATATCTTTTTAGAAACCTGCTGCTGAACATATTGCAGTCTTGGAATTCAAAGTTGAATTCTCATGTCACGAATGTTCTGCACACTTTGTCTTCCCCAAATTTATAAAAAGAGACACCACAGCATTTTCAGAGTAAAAGGAGAAAGATTGAAGCTATATTTCTGTAGCTGTCAGTGCCAGCATTAATCATGGCTATTAGTTGATAAATAGCCTCATGGATAGTCACAACAAAAGGCGAACAGAACATTCTTCATGAGAGGACCAACATCTTGCTGTTGTCCTCTCAAATGTCTGAAAATAATCCTTCATTTTAACAGGCAGTATTTATGCTCTGGTGTGTGCAGTATGACAGAAGGAAATTTAACTATTCATTTTCTTACTCTTCATCTTCACAAGAAATCCTGTCTTCAGTCTGATCCAGCTTTCCTTCCAAGTACTGTGAAGCTGTGGTACCATAACTCCATCTCAGCTGTGTGATGAACCACTTTACGTTTTGGCTCCTGGCAAAATCCTGTAGTGGCCACAAGTGTGGTTTATAATATGGGTTATTTAAGCCCATCCTAAAGTTAACCATATACTTAGATTTAAAAATTTGTTTTCCAAGACCTTTTCCCATCAGATTGGGAAGAACTTTGTAATGTTGGACCTGATAATTTGGTAATATTAACAAGTTAACTGTATCACCTACATCTTTATGTTTTCTTTTTTGGTTTTGATTTCTCATTTGCTTTTTGCCATATACAGTGTCTGGAGTATGTATATTTTTTAAGAGTTTTTTTCTGGAGTAAAAATTTTCAGGTTAAAAAGACCCCTTTGATTTGTTGCTGGTCTCTGACTTCTTGCACGTGGAGTTTATGTGACTACTTCATGTTGGTAACATGCCTCTCTAGATGTTTTACAGTATCTTAAATATTGTTTTTAAATGAACAAACAAACAGAAAAGGTTTGTGATTGATCCGTTTTTGCTTTAAAAGAGACTCATTTTGGGATGCAAACTGAAATGCTATAGCACAGTTAATGAAGAGGGGAATTTCATCTTAGTCATTGTTTTTCTATGATTCTCTTCAGTCAAAAGAAAGACATCAAAAAGTGTTTAAATACGTTTTCCTCACAGTGGTCTTACTTTACTGGTACCTGGAGTCCACTCCCTTCCATGTTTTTTGAGGAATGTGCAATGCTGGTTTGCTGCTCCACTTTGGACAAAATTGGAAATAAGTAGAACAGGTTAATCCCAGGGATTTGTGTCATGTCAAAAAACGGGCTAGATACATGATGAATTTGATCCATTATGGCTTTAAAATTTATATTTTTTTTTTTTTTACAAGATGCCTGAAGATTGACCCAATCTTGTCAAATAGCAGAAGGAAAGTATTTCTTTGAGCTGAAGTGAAACATTTGTTAGCTTTTCCATTATATTCAGAAGTAGTGTATTTTCTGTGTGAAATCTTACAGGAAGAGTTCTTAAAAACAGATGCTTATCGTCGTCTTAAGGCCTTGACCTCTAAAAGGATAATATCACCAGATCTGTGTCTCTCTCTGCAGGAGACAATTCAGTAATGCTTCATAAAAGTCTGTGTAGAAACAGCTGAGGGGTTGATCCTTAAGTGGCTGACTCTGGTACTGAAGCCTGCACCCAAAGATGGCAAGAAGTAAGCCAGAAATAGTGTGCAATTAGTATTCTTGTGCAGTGCAAAGACTGCATTTCAATTTGATAAATTTACCATTTCCGATATGAAATATTTATATCAGTAAGAAACTAGCTGCTTAAATTGAGAATATTTGGGAGAGATGACTGTCAAAACCAGAAGAATCTGGAGAACTGTAATAGTGCAAGAACATACACTTTTCATTTTGTCTGGTGTATAACTCTGTATAAAGCTACATTTTTAGGGTCTAGAAGAAAAGTAAATGCCAGTGGGATAACAAGTAAAATGAGATGATTGAGTAACTCTTTAAGATACTCCTAATGTTGGGCGGCGACACAATATTGAAAGCAAACCAATGTATTTAAAATTGCATTTAAAATTATTGAAAAGACTTTTCATCTAAGCCTAACTACAGAGCATGCTGTTTATGTTTGAACTATGGGTTTCACTGATGTAGGGTATTGAAATTCAGTCCTTTGCAGTGTATACACAGTGTGG